TTAGCAAATTTGTTGCCATCTAGATTAGAAATTGACAATAATTATATATCCAGTCAGAATAAGCTGGATAAGTCTTTAACCGCATAACCTAGTGCTAACCCTCAAGCACACCTTTGAGCACCTTTGAGGTCTAACTTTTACCAACATTATCCCTGTGATTTTATAAAACTCCACCTGGTTTCACAAGGACAACAGCAAATGTTTTCATTTAATCCAATTTATTTTGTTGTCTTGTGGTTTCTGGTGACAGATCATGAGTAACTTGCTCAGGTTGTTTAGGTTAGAGGTTCTAGAGACAGCTGTAATCTATTATGTGCCAGTTCTGCTAAGCTACATTTGTGCCTGCGCAATCCTACACTCATATGTTCAGTGAGCGTATCCTTATAGTTGTCCTATTTTCAGAACACTAACTTAATAAATGCCTGCTGCAAAAACACTGGCTCCACTCTCCCTGAAAAGGCACAGCATTGGTTTTAAGTAAATACAAACAACATTTTACCATTTATGCTTTAATTGATCTGCACAATTAAGCAGACTCATGTCTTTTAGCTTTCCTCATACTGAGTACTCACCGTCACTAGGGAGAATAAATATGCTGGGCATTTTGGCAGAGCTCACTGCGCATTTGTAAGGTTTAAGCGTAGGTGAGTATTGGTATCTGAGGCTCAGGAAATCCTGGTGGGAACAGCATAATCTTGATGATGTGTTGGAAGAAGCAAAGCATAGTCTATTGAATACACGTAACAGTGCCACAGATGGCTAATTGTAATGTTTTTGCTGGTAGGATATTTTAGCTCCTTGTCCAAAAATGTCACATGTAATTGGCATAAATAATTGAAATTGCCTCTTTGATAATGTACTGCATCTACAGCTTAGTTGTCTAAAGGAAATTCCTCTTAAACTGATAGGATGCAGGAATTGTAATGTAAATTAAAATACACTGCAGTTATTCACCATCTTGCAGGGAATATTTCTAAATCAGTGGAAGAAAAACACAAAATAATGAATATGGAGGATGCATTTGAGAAAAATGGATTTTATCTTGGTGAGAAATTAAAAATACAATATGAAAACCACACTTCTGTTGACTTTTTTTTTTTTGCTTGTCTGTGCATGTGACCATGTACACACCTGTTGAAATATGTAAGATTCATATATGAAAGTGTTTAGGTAAATAGGAAAATGTATGGATAAAGAAACAAGACTAATTTTTTTAAATTACAAGTATACTGATACAGAGTTTGCTATTTGCTAATATATATGTTTTGAAGTTACAGTATAATGGCCAATAAATGAGAATTTATAAAAGAAAGAAGAGAAAGGAGAAACACCCTTCAGGCATTCTGTGAGGGTTGATGTTGCATAGTTTGACCAACAGGGGGATTCTGCAACTTCCTGGGTTTGGAGCACTACAAACTACAACGGCTAATCTGAGCAGACTTGGGTACAGTTCAGTGACGCAATCATGTCTTGCTATCAAGCTGTGAATTACATATTATCTTAGTAGGGACTTAAAACAGGGTTGCTGCCTCTCTCCCCTTCTGTTCATTCTGTACACAAATGAGTGTCGCAGCAATTTCACAAACAGACACATCCTGAAGTTTGCTGACGACACAGTAATCGACGAGTCAGGCCATGGACAGGTTGTAGATGATTTTGTGAATTGGTGTGATGAGTCCTTCCTCTCACTTAATGTGTCAAAAACTAAAGACATGATTATTGATTTTAGGAAGTCCTCTTATAGCTCATCACCCACTATCATTAAAACTGCTGATATTGGGATCGTTGAGAGTTATAAATATCTAGGTGTGGTACTTGACCATAAACTGTGTTTTTTGCTGATGCCACTACTAAAAAAGTTCAACAAAGACTGTTCTTTTTAAGGAAAATGAGATCTTTTAATGTCTCACTGAGATGTTGTCCTTGTTTTATAGAAGTTTTATCGAATCTGTGATGTCTTTTTGTATTGCTGCCTGGTTTGGTAACCTGACGGTGAAGAATAAGAATCGGTTGGGACTTCTGGTAAAAACTGCTAGCAAAATTTCAGGGCGCTGGCAAGATGGACTTTTGGCCATTTACAATAGAAATGTGCTTAGAAAGGCTCATTCTATTATTAATTGTGTGAACCATCCACTTCATCCACTCTTTTATCCCTACTGCGTCTTGTCTCCTAAATGGCAAATAATTGTCCTTGAATTTTCTATCATTATTATTGTTATTATTGTTTTATAGTATTGTTCTGCTTGTTCTTATCCTCCTGCTGCTAAACTAATTTCCCCTTGAGGGACAATAAAGAAATTGAATTGAATTGAATTGAAACAAAAACTATCGGCAGATTTATTAAATCTTTAAATCACAAAATGTTAGTAGGGGTAACAGTATTGGTGGGCTGTCATTTTTGAAGATATTTGGAAAAGGAAAAGATCTTTAACTTACAATATAAAGTGCATTACGCTGTATAAATGACATTTAATTCAATCAAATTGAAATGGTGGCACATTTGTGAAGTGGTGTGTGTATCTTTGTTAGCTTCTCTAAAATGGGTGAAGGTAATTTCAGGTCTGGTATGAATGCATTTGTGGTACCATGCCTCCTGTTTGCAAACTTTCAGGCTAATGACGTGCTGGGTACATGGCTATGATTGCGTATGCAATGATTTGCCTGCATTGCTGTGCCTGTTTTCCAAGAAAATAGAAAAAGAAAAGGAAATTTTATGAAGCAACCCTAGGATCTATGTTTGCAATTCAATTCGTTTGACCAAAACATACACACGCTCACAAAATTAGCATATGAGAATGTGAAAAAACCCCAAAACAAATTGTGTTCCAGCACAAGTTAAATCCAGGATATGTTCCTATCATGGTAATAGGCTGCAGTTGCATCTCAAACAACCTCAGGACAGAAAAAACTATTTGAGGTCAAACTTGTTTGCTGATACAAACTTCTGTCTTCTGGCCTCCGATCACAGCATTGAGTCCCAAGTGTATCTGTGTTTGTGCATTTGTGTGTGGAAAACACGCATAATGTCATTAGCATATAATATTTGTATCCCTACGTTTGCGTGCGCTTCATAAGACTGTCCGTGAGTAATGTGGAAGACAGTAGTCACCATTTGTTTTCCGCTTTAACTCCTTCTCTAATTAGAACAGTACTTCACCTTGGGAATACTTCTGCACTGCAGTTCAGTGCGCACACCAGATCACTGAGTGTACAATGTGCCTGAGAAAATGTGTGGGATGTGTGTTTGGGGTAAAAGCCAACCAAAGTAGAAAAACAGCAGCATCAGAGCCTCTGATTTAGGTTTCCTTCTAATCACGTTCACGTCATTTTTCCTCCTTAATGTATTTTGCATCCCGGTCTTTCTCCCTCTCTCCCTTTTTCTTGCTTAATATCTCCTCCATTGGGTATAATTTTTTTTCCCCATTTAGATGATGAGACATCTTCTAAAATGAACAACCCCACTGTGATGTAGTGTTCGTATATACATTTAGGACTTTGCTTTTGTTTTTGTAAACCGTTTGATTTATGAAGAAAATCATACTTCCACATGTTGTCAGTGCTCATTGGATGTGCTCACTGCTGTTTGTTCTTACAGTGGTTATTACTTTGTTGTGAATTGATATATATTCCACATGCTTTTTGTGTGATCGGATAAAAATGAAAAACCGAATGAGAGAAATGATTCGATTTTGACAGACGCCTTCAGATTTAACTTTTTTTTTCCTTCCAGAAATGCAGATCCAGTTTTAATTGCCATCTGTGTTGATGCACTCAAAGCACATCAAAGACAGAAACTCCATTTTATGTCTGTTCTTGAATAGCAGTTCAATATGGCATTATGTGTTAATAATTTATGCTACACCACATAGACAAAAATTCAAGGACAAAAAAATCCACAGTCATCAGACCACTTAAAATTTATTGCTTTGTCCTAAATAGATAATCTCACTCGCCACCAAAAAAGGATAAAAGGATAGGACCAGCAAAAGGAAAGATTACTCATTAGTGTAAAATCAGGTCAGAGTTGATGTCTGAGACAAAGCAGGACAAAGGTTTTCAAATAGCAAACCTTTAGACTCACAAATAGAGAAATAGATGCTACTATATCACACTCACAAAGGTATATCTGTGTTTTGTGTACCGATGTTACGATACCAGAAATTTAATCATTAGTACCAGTACATGTAGAATTGCATGATGATGATTGCTGAGTAGCCTAATAACCTTACATTACTTACATTGTGTTAGCTACATCGGCGGTCCCTACCCTTTTTGCACCACGGACCGGTTCATGTCTGACAATATTTTCACTGACCGGCCTTTAAGGTGTCGCGGATAAATACAACAAAATAAAACCAGCACCAGTACCAAAATAAGGACGATTTATTCATAACACACAGGAAGACACCCAGGGAAACCAAGTTACTGATAAAAACAATAACAAAAATAATGATAAAAACCATGAAAACCATCAATTTCAAACCCAAGCCTCGGTACCAAACGAGACACGGACCAGTACCAGTCCATGGCGCGGGTGTTGGGGACCGATGAGCTACCTTACATTTATATAACGTTCGCAATTGCAAACTCTTTAGCCTATGGAACATAGCTAATTTTGCAACAGCTGCTGCACAGTTTTTTTCCTTTTCTTAAGTTTGTCTTACTTCTTGAGCATGTAATGATAGACAAGAGCACTATAGATGTATGCTTCCCCCTGACTTAAGGAAAAACTGCCGACTTGGCTCCTACGATTTAGGTCATAAACTAATCAAGAAAGTGTTAAGTTGTGTCATAGATTAAAAGAGCTGCATGGTCATTTTCCCATAGGCTTCTATTCCATTGGACTTTTCATAAAAAAAGATGTTTCCCTGTGATGGCCATTATCAATAATATGGGTTTTAGGCACTTTACAGTAAGTTGCTTTGACTATATACAGTCTGTGTTTTTGCATGCTTTTGAATTCACACAACATATGTTTTGACCTTAACTTGCTCTTGCACGTGGTTTGAGCACGTGTCCATGTTGGTGATCCTGCTCAACTGTGTGACTCTGGGGATGTATCGGCCCTGTGAGGACGTTACCTGCCAGTCAGAGTGGTGTCGCATCTTACAGGTAAGTGCTGCACTCCCACACTGTCAGCTGGGCCTGCTACACAGTATGCAGTAATGTCAGCAGCTGATTGGTTGTTGATTAACTTACTGACATGTTCAAGAGCTTTTTCAACAGAAGCACCATTCACTACAAAGACAAGAACCATATTTTTTACTTTTATTTTAACTAAGCTACTTCAATCAGTGTTTTAAATTATTACACGTATGCAACCACAATGCATAAAAACACTCATGAAAAAAGTTAATTCTTCATTTTCCTCTTTTCACACCCATTTATTTCTATAAGCTTTCACTGTAGTGCGATGCTGATTCCTGACACACTGAGATCTTCTCATTATATTCGAAGAGAGACATTCTTTTTGCTGTAAAATGTCTAATTAATTGAGACACAACCATAAACATGGTACGCCCGAGTTATTCCCTGCTGGGATAAAACTAACTAACTGATAAAAGCAGTCTTTGTCAGAAAACCTCCTCTAGCATTTCCACTTTTCTTGGTTCAGAACGCGACTGTTTTGATAAGAAGACTTAAAAAGGATCGTTCACTTTGCAAGGGTTCCACTTCCTCTTCTTTTTATTGTTGTCAAAGCTTATTTTTGTCTGTGTTCTTGTCACTTTATCCTTTGCGACCAGGTGTTGGATGACTGCATCTTCGCTTTCTTTGCGGTGGAAATGGTTATCAAGATGGTGGCCCTGGGAATTTTTGGCTCCAAGTGTTACTTTGATGACAAGTGGAATCAGCTTGACTTTGTCATTGTCATGGCAGGGTTGGTATCCCACTGTGCCTTTTGCTCATCTCCACTAATTGCTCAATTATCTCTATCACCAGCAGCTTAAATATTAACAGTCTGCTTAGAATAAAAGAAAAAAGAAAAAGCACTTTATTTCTTCCTCCTATACTATATAAATAGGGCTCTTTACACCTCACACATTCAAGTTGTAGGTCATTCGGTGGTTCACCACGCCCAATTTGAAATCCATGGCGACTGATCCCATGACTTTGACACACACTTCCCTTGTGCTTATTTTACATTGAATAACTATTTAAATAAACTTTAGTTTTGCTCCACCTACATATGCATAAGATTTATGTCGCATTAATGAAGGGTAGGAAGAAATAGGGATGCAGAAATAAATACTGAAGCAATATAATGTTCAACATATGCAATAAAATATATATCTATGTAAGTTTCTGTCAGCTTGTCTGTCAGTTGGAGCAATGTTTCTCTATTATTCGTTAGCCAGTCTGTTATGAGGCACATTCTCCACATAATTGCAGAGAAAAATGTAAACATGTTTAGGACCATCATTATAGCCTTCTGTCTGCTCGTTGTCACACTCATTATGTTTGCATGCTGTATCACAGACTATACAGAAGAAAAAGTGCTTCTGACTTTATGCAATTAAATGGCAAATGCACAGTAATTATGTGGGTCGCTTCAATTACAATCTTTATTAGATTATTAGTGTTTCATTTCATTTTCTTGTTGTTGCTGTTTTGTGTAGACATAAATGTGTGTGTGGTCACCATTTCGTTTTTATAACGTCTATGAAGTAAAACCTCCTCCACCTCTCTCTCTCCCTCTCTCTCTGCGACCATGTCTTCAGGATGTTGGAGTATTCCCTGGATGGCCACAATGCCAGTCTGTCAGCTATCCGTACCGTCCGAGTACTCAGGCCACTGCGGGCTATCAACAGAGTACCAAGTATGCCAGTTTCTTAGTTGTGGTTTGACTCATATTTTCCCATATATGCAGGGTTTTTACAGCATTTCCCCAATGATTAATGTAAAGCTGTATATTTCTATCTGCCTGGTGTTACTCACTTTGAACTAAGGAAGACAGAGCAGTGTTTTGCTGTGTTTATTCTCAGCACTGCGTGGTAAATTGACCGATGATCAAGACTTTGGTTTTCATCTCACTTTGTGCCAGCCAGCGGGATCTTGCACATAGTTTGTCAATTTCTAAAAGCTCTGTGACAGAAATAACCATGAATCTACAGCTAAAGGGGATCACTACACAATGGTGTCATACCAACTTACAAGGTTATTAACCAGCATACATTAGGCAAGCAGCCAAGGTCTTTTTCCGGACTCAGCTGCCAGTATTGGTAGCCTTTAAATATATATGTATTTATGTAAGGTTGTTTTTTTCTCATTTTCATGTATATTATAGATTTATTGCACATAAAGTGAAATATCCATGTCTCTTGGCTTAATTTAGCACACCCAACCATATGGTGGTGGTTGGTCCACTGTATTTACTCAGTTCCAAATTCAACCCAGCTGTTTACCAGGAGATTTTAAACTACTTTGTGCTGTCACAAGCTTTATGGAGATGCAGATTTCCTTTTCCAGCAGGACCTAGCACCTGCCCACAGCACCAAAACTACTACCAAATGGTTTGCTGACAGGTTATTACTGTTTTTGACTGGCCAGCCAACTCACCTGACCTGCACCTCACAGAGAATCTGTGGGTTTTGTCAAGAGGAAGATAAGAAGCGCAGATCCAAAACTACAGGCGAGCCAAAGGCTGCTATCAAAGCAGCCTGGGCTTCATTAACGCCTCAGCAGTGCTACAGGCTGATTGCGTCCATCCCATGCCATGCTGATGCAGTCATTTGTGGTAACAGATCCCCACCTACGTCACTTTATAGACATTTCTGCATGTTGAAGAATTTAAGATACTTGAGTTGTGTGTGTTTAAGTTTTCTTTGGGGAATTTAAATGATTATGACCTCACATTCATGAGTGACACTGGGGGCTGCACTGTCACATAGCATGGAAGACACAGTGGGTCAACACATTAACATTATCACCAAGCTAACAGTAGTTCTGGGAAAAACTTAAAGCTGTGCACAAGGTGAAATAAAACTTATTATTACTGCAACAAGTGTTCAGTTGCTCCCTAAAGGTGGGTTGGTAGATGGAGGCAGATAGAGAGAGGACAGAGGGAGAGAATGTCAGTGAAGACCCAGCTAGCTTAGAGATAGAAATTCAAGGTCAGTGATCTTGAGTTTTCTTGCCCCAAGACACAAACATACCTGAAAGGCGATGTTCATATGCTCACAGGTACACACAACACTGGGCCTCTTCTGTTTTTCTTTTTTTCTTTCACCATAAATATAGTGTCTGTAAGAACGAGCCACGTAGATAAGGCTAACACAGGTTTTCCTCCTCTGTTCTTCTTTCTCTAATCAGTCTGTCTTTCTGTTTTTCTTTCTGCCTAAGAGGATGGGAAATATTCATTGAACTACAAATGTTAACTGTGTCTTTTGTGCTGTAGCTTAGAAACAGTGAGCACCGCACTCTGATTATTTCATGTTCTCAAGGTTGATACGTGCATGGGGCTTTTGCAAAATCTCTGCCAACTGCCTTGTGCACTCCCAGTCACATACTTTTACCGTCAAGTGAATGCGTTAGCGCAAGCCTGTTATGGTGCTGGAAACAATTACATTTACCCTGTGTGAAATGATCGCAAATTCTTCAGCCATCTGTCTAGTTTTGACTGCATGACTGTGTTTAGAAAAGCACTAGCCTTCCTCAGTTTCTTACTAGGTCAGTTTCTTGTTATGAGCAAAAAAAAAAAAAAGGTAAGTGAATGCCCATGAATGAAAAGCACAAGCTGACAGCAATGATAATGAAATCTCCAAGGGCATCTTTAGAAACATGGGTGATTTCTCTGGTGGTTCAAGCCAGTCTCTTGTCATCACAACTTGACAGCGAAAACTGTTGTGGGTGACAGTAGTTCTGGCTTTTAAAAATACAATTTTTGTATTTTTTATATTTTGATTCCAAGGATTCCAAGAAAGCAGACTTCCTTGGTCTTGAGTTATAGTTTCCCCCATAATTTCTGAAGGGCAGTTTAAGTTTTTCTTTTGAAATTGGCTCCTTTATCACTCGTTTTCAGTCCAGTTCTTTTACCCAAACCTTTTTTACTGGGATGCGGTTTTTTTTGTTGTTTTTTTTGTTAAGCCACTAAACACTGACCTATGAAAAATTCAAGTAAAAGTAGTATAAAAAAGACCCTTAACTGAAGGCATGAAACAGTAATGCATTGTAGCATAACTCAGCAAACCTAGCACATAACCAATTTTAAATTGTAGCCGTTTTGTTACTAGAACAAATAATTTGTTGCCATTTTATTTTTATTGCATTTATAAAAAATCCCAAAAGGTAAAACAGTTTTGCAGGCATAAACTTATATTTTTGCACCAACAACATGATTCCCAAAGAGCTATTAGCTGAGCTGGAATAACTTAACATGGTGTGCAGTGAGTTCTTAATAAGTTTGACAAGTAGAGGACAAAAGAAGAAGTGGCAGGCTCAAAGAACTTATTTTCAGCAAATGATCAGTATCTGAAATGTATGCCCTGAAAGCTGGACACGGATGCATCTGGCCTTTATCTGATCCATCTACTGTTCACTGAGGCCTCATCGGAAATGGTCTAAGTCTCAGGGAAGGGAAACAGGGAGAGAAGGTTGAGTTATGCAAAAGTACACAAGAACTGGACTGAAAATCAGTGGCAGCAGGTCTTATAGAGTAGCTACTTTCAGCTGCTCCCTAATTCACTAGGGGTTGCCACAGGAGGTGGCTCCACACATGTGATTTAGCACATTGTGTTGCCTAATGCCCTTCCTGACACATTCCCAAAGGGGTTTGTTTCTTCTCCCAGGAGGGATAAATGCACATTTGACAACAGTAAACACGAGGCAGCCAACATCCAAAGAAGAGCTTTGGATGTCATTCAAGAAGCCCGGAGAACTATTCCTGAAAACTACATATAGACATTACAAGAAAGTTTGCCTCAGACTGTTGGTAAAAATAAAGGTGGCCATATCAAATATACCAAATACCATTTTAAACCTGTCACTCAGAGAAATTAATTCAGTGACATTAAAATGAAAGGTAGAAGATTACTAAAGTGAGGCAACAGGGATTCAACAAGATGGATAACCTTAGCTGATGAATGACTACAATTAGCAATGTAATGACAGCTTTTATCTAAATGTGACTCATTCATATGATTTTTTTTATGTATATTTAATAATAAGAAGAGTAAAAGAAAGGATAGTCATATTTTACATGTTTCAATAATAACTGCATTGACAATAAAATGTTTCTTTAGCTTCTGGCACAGATTTAATAGGAATACTATTATCTTAATTCTTAGGCCCATTCTGATAACTGTAAAACTGGCAAACAAGACATTTGTTTGTTTTCCACTGATGATGATAATGGCTACAGGTAGAGTTTTCTCACGCTGTTGCACAGCACAGACAGTTTGGTCTCAGGATGAAGATTTAAATTTAATTATCACTGCAAAGGTAAAAACTGGCAACTCTGTGCCACAGAAAGAATAATAATATCATAGCACTGCACATGTGATCAATGTGACAAAGCTGTGATATATGGAGGAGGAGACAGGGGACATTGTGAGGACCTCGGGGACTGGATCCCTGATGCTGCTGACGCTAAGCACATCTGACATGGGAGATGGATGCTGAATGCACGTGGTTAGATAATAGTAGCCACAAGGAAGCTGCGAGTTCAAATCCCAGAGGATGAAACGATGTCAATCTGTCACTTTCAGTATTGTCATCTGTTGTAATTATAACGTGTGCGAGGATGAAGTTGTTGGCTCCAAAAACATAAGATTAATAGAGCTCGTCAAGGTAAAAGTAAAAGGCTAGCTCGGATGGGTTTTATATTATGTCTGTCATGAATGTCGGGTGCTATTAGTCACACATCTTTGTTGTTTGTATCCCACTGTGTAGGTATGAGGATCTTGGTGACACTGCTGTTAGACACTCTGCCGATGCTGGGAAATGTTCTGCTCCTCTGCTTCTTTGTCTTCTTCATCTTCGGCATTGTGGGAGTCCAGTTGTGGGAGGGACTGCTGCGCAATCGCTGCTTCCTGGGAGAGGACATCGAAACGTAAGGAATTCCGCCTTGTGATGTAGGATAGGAATCTCTTGATCTTTTATGTCAAAGCTGCATTTGATTTTTTTGAACGATACATTTTGGTGAAACTGGGATCCAATTTAAAATTATTTTCCTTGAAAACTGACAAAAAAGGGATGAGTGAACGAGAGCCTGAATGATCATACCAATACCAGTGTTTAGGGATGTAAAACTCAATATATCGAGCGATATATTTTTCTTTCAGGAACATGGAATATAAACAGATTTCCTGTATATTTGTCATTTGTAGTAATTTATTTGCTCGTTTATGGCCGTTAGGTTGTATTTGTGGCGCTGTGTTGTAGAGTGCCCTCTGGTGGACAACTATGTAATCCAACAGTCCAGATATGGTTGAAGGGTGTTTCTCCTCTCTATTCTGTACTTTTTTAATTGTCTTTAGCAGTCGTTATAAAAGTTGCTACCAATACATCAGCAAATACCTAATATCGATCACTAATATCAGCCCACTGATAAATCGGTCAGGCTCTAGAGTGAAAGGTACAATCTCAGTCTGTAAAGCTACAAATTGCTTGACAAATATGATATTTTAGCTTCCTCCCTTTTTAGTCCTGTCATAAATTCTGTTGTCATCTGGAGTGATAGTTAGCAGTAGTGAAAATGTAGAACTTCTAGCTTGTTAGAGTATGCACAATGCAGAGAAGTGGAGCAATGCTGTATCAATAAGAACAGGTCAATGTGCTGGTCTCTGTACTCTGAGACAAAGAAATAAAAATACCCCATCTTTGTAGATAATGTGGCTAAAAATATAGGCATTCTAGAAACATGCTGTGTCCCTCAATAGAAAGAATTTAAATTAGCACCTATGATCATTGAAAATCATCTCCAAAAAGACCTAGAACTTATCAGCGCAAGAGGAAATTAATTCAGGAGACACTTTTAACTTTGCGGAGTGAAGTGATAAAGCTACTTTCGACTGCTCCCTTATTCACACGGGATCGCGACAGCTGGTAGCGCTACATATTTGATTAAGCAGATTTTTACACCGGATAGACTTCCTGATGTAACATCCAATGGATCACTACCTCCTCCCGGGAGTGAACCAGGAATCTTTTGCTTGGTAGGCAAATGTTTAAACCACTGCACCATAAAATTCCTGAATATGTGTAAAAGTTTTCTTGCTCGGTCCAGATTGTAGGAAATGGCAGACCATAGGTACTGACCTGAAACCAAGAAAAGATACAGCTTCTGTCGATGTGAGACAGAAAACGAGTCAGCACTGACAGACCCACAGCCGAGAGAGAACACAGTGTTCGCTCTGTTACCAAAGACGGGAGAGGAAAACGCTGCATTTCCCTTCTATGCAGCTTGCATTGTGGGAATACTCGATGAACCTATTTTTTCACATTTAGCTTTTCTCGTCTTGTGATATAACAAGATCGGATACAAAAACAGCAGACAAGCTTACTCCCTCAAAATCAAGTACACACACACAAACAGCCAAAATTGAGCTCAGTCATCATTTTAGCCGTGGGGAGTGATTTTATGCAAGAGAAAAATAATAAAAGTTGCTTCAGTAGCCACATCCTCACAACGCCAAAAGAGGCATGAACTAATTGTGCTTTTGATGTAATGGCACAAATTGTCCCAGAGTTAATGTTTCTTTGAGTAGATAAGAAAGACGGATAGAAAACCACAGCTTAATACTTAATATAAAAGATGCTGTGATTCCTTTCAGAGAACAAATCTATCTGACTTCCAGGGTAAAATGAATCACTGCCCTCTGAAATAACACATGAACATGCACATACTCTTGCACTAAGCGTCTCCACAATTTCAATTGATTTTTTTCCTTTATTTCCTATTTTAGTGAGTGTTGCAGGCATTTCTTATCATATGCAGTGCCGTGGAGAAGTGTTTGCCCGCTTTCTGATGTCTTATTTTTCTTTCAATATTCTTTTGTGACCTCCTGGATGAGTTGCTGATGTGCTCTTGGAATCACTGTTCCATGTTTTCAAAATTTATGGCTAGTGGAGTCCCAAAGCCTTTAAAATGGCTTTTTAACCCTTTCCAGACTGACGGATGTCAGTAACTTTCTCGGCTGTTTCTTTAGATGGTGGTATGGTGTGTTTTGAGGTCTTTTAGTCTTCTTCATTTTGTCAGACAGGTTCTGTTTCAGTGATTTCATAATTTATCAAATCTGGGAGTATCCATGAAGTTATTTTAAGGGAGGCCAATGACTTTTTCCTAAAGGGAAAGGTGGGTTATGATAGCTTTTTTCCCCTTAACAAATGCTCCTCATTTAAAAACTGCATTTTTTTATTTACTCAGGTTATGTTTGCCTAATTTAAAAGTTATTTAGGTGATCTGAAGCATCCAGATGTGACAAATATGCAAAAAAGTAAGAAATGGGTAAGGGGCAAACACTTTCTCATGACACTGAAGCTTTTGAAAAATAAGGAACATGATTTTTGCCTCGGCAGCATTAGGCAAACACACCACAACGGGAAAAAAGATGACAGGAATTATGGGAATGGTGTGAAAATAAAGCAGTGCACGGTTGCTAAAGCCTTCCGTGTTAGTCGGGCATAAATATCCCTTCACGCAGTAACTGTTGTGGAGAGCTCTCCAATTTAAAGGGAGGAGTATAAATAAAATAGGTAATCTGTGGGATGCACTCAGCACTCTCTACCACGAATAGGAAACACCTGTCACCATGGATACCAATAAAAAAAATCTTGTCATAAAATAAGGGCCATGTTGTTTTTGTAAGTGAAGGATTCAAAGTGTAATGACAACTTGTGCGAATAAAAACATGAATATGGTATAATAACAGTTTTTCTATTTACTGTATCTTTCAAATGCTGAGCACTAGAGCAGAAAGGCTGTTAAAGGGGTTGATCTTTTCTCCCCACATAGGTGGAGTGGATAGACAAATATTTTAGAGGCCATAGAGGGCGAGCCACCCAACCATCAATCTTTTTTTATCACTTATTCGGCTCTGACTGGAGCAGCTAGAGCTTTTTTAAAGATTATTTACAGGAAATACAAACTTCCTATATTATCTCTATAGATCCCCCAAAACAAGAGAAGCAAACCAGAAATAACTGAGAAGCCTCATCGAGGTTTTATAACACGACGTATTGGCTGCAGTCATGATTTGATTTTTAAGCCACTAAGCAATTATAAGACAGAGAGTTCATCAATCCTATTACCATATTGTTGAGATGATTTGCTGATTAGAGTGGAAATCTCTGACTGAGATGTTTTGAAAGAAGAGAACACTGACTGTAATTTGTGGGGTATTTATGTTTGCCCACATGCGTGTGCTCGCAGTGATATTTGTGTTATTCTTTTTCTTTTTTTAATCCAGAATGTACAACATGTCTTTAAATCCTTATTACATGTCTGAGGAAGGTGAAGACAGCCCGTTTATCTGCTCGGCTCCACGCGAAAACGGGATGCGGCGTTGCAAAGATGTGCCACCCTACTCTCAAGACGGGCTCGAATGCACATTGCCGGCTTCTGACCTGAGTTTTAGGAGTGTTGCCAGCGGTAACTTTTGTGTTAACTGGTATCAGTACTACAACGACTGCCGCCCAGGGGAGCTCAACCCTCACAGGGGAGCTGTCAACTTTGACAATATCGGCTATGCTTGGATAGCCATATTCCAGGTAAGCGGGGACAAATGTGCAGATTTGTTTGCAGAAGGTAAAACCCAGAAACCAGTATTTGCTGTTTGCCATAGTTTTGGAAGTTTTGGTTTTCAGTTTTGTTGTTTGTTAAATCACCAAAGACAATATTTGGACTGGGCATTTTATCCATATAGAGTAACCTCAAACTAGAAAATATCACATACTACCGAACACAGTAACTGTTTACTCTCACCTGACTGTCTCAGGGTTTCATTTCATCCCCTAACACTGACATAATATAAATGAAAATCTTCAGCTTAATGACATTTCTGTTAGGATGCCTGGGTCGTTGCCCCCGAGTTTTGAGTTTATTATATTATTAATCATTTCTAGTTTTTTGGTTTCTTTGTTAGAGTTCTGTCTTATGGTTTATGTCTCTGTGTTCTCTAGTTGCTCTGTCTCCCCTGTCAGCTGTATCCCCTTGTCAAGTCCGTGTCTCTGTGTTATGTTTCCTGTTTTACTTTGAAAGTCCGTGTCTTACGTTAATGTGTCTGGTTTTGCTTCCTTTGTCTCGTTAGGCCTGAGTTGCCCCAGCTGTGTTTCACTCCTGTTTCCCTTTCCCTGATTGGTCCCTCTGTGTATTTAAGCCCTGTGTTTCTCTGTGTCCGTGTCATGATCTACTCTTATCCACCCATGTCTGTCTGTCTGTCTGTCTGTCTGTCTGTCTGTCTGTCTGTCTGTCTGTCTGTCTGTCTGTCTGTCTAAGCTTATTTTGTATTCTCAGTTTTGTTACCCTTTTGAGTTCAGCATTAAAGCTGTTTTTTGAGTTCACATCTGTCTCCAGAGTCTGCACTTTGGGTCCTTTTCCTGCCTGCACGCAGGCGTTTCATAACAATTTCACACTAATACTGGCTTAAAATGAATCGTATAAATAAATGAAGGCTGATGTTACTCTATCTTCTTAACCCACAAATCAGAGATGTCCAATTTGCATCATAAAAAAAGAGCGTAGGTGTGGCTTTTTCAGCCATTGGTTAGTGAAGCCATTAAAGAGTATTCAGGTTTGAGGCACTTCCCCATTGTCTTTCCTTTTCAGACCCCGACCATAGGCAGTGCATGCGATATAATAGTGTTTGTCCAGGATCAACACTGAAAATGACGACTCATGTTGTTGCAATGTCTTAGTTTATGGAATATGGCAGAAAAAGAAAACATTGCCTTTGCTTATTAAATATCTCTTCTTGAACAAATTTAAGCAGTTCAAATTTTTACTCATTTATATAATATAATAAATAATTGTTAAGTTCTGTTACCTGTTAGCTTAGGTTACCAAGCTAACTTAGGCTACTAAGCTAACATATAAGCTGGGCTACTCATGTTGGTTTGTTAGTGAAAATGTTTAATAGATTTTGCTACCTTCTTAGCTAATGACATGGGGGTATCAGATTGTGCGTAAAACATGTTGTTAATCACAAGACATTAGCCAGTGAGCACGCGGTTTGACAGCCAGTGGGTTTTTTTGCAACCAAGATGACGATGGATTTCTGAAACCAAAAGGTGACATCACTGTCTTCACTGCTATTTACTACTTTAAGAGTAAATCAGGCTTATTCTGTGTCTCCTTGATCTGGAATAGAGTTTAAATAGAGTGAAGTGGCATTGAGAAACCAGGTAATTGTATTTTTGCAAGCTCACAATATCATGTCTATGTTTCTGTTTGTTGCATTTCTAATATTTACAACATTGAAACATGAGCTATATTGAAAAGTCAGTCCAGTAAGAAACTGAAGTAGAAAGATAGCCTTCTAACAAAAATATCCAGCTTTCCAACATAGTCATGTTTCTTATCTTTTGTCTTAAAATAGTAGAAATTTGAAATTAACCCTGGTAGAAAGTCCTCTTAAGCTATCAGTGGGTATGTATCATGACCTTAAAGCCTCTTCATTTCCACATGCCAGTTTCTGAAAGTGTATTCCTCCTTTCCCATCTTGCTGGTTCCGACTCCCCAGAAGACCATGACAGGCTTTTCCCTATCACACCCTTTGTGCTGTACTGTACTGTTGTGATATGAATTTCAGCCCTTCTAGTAGATATGTGCTGGTTTCGCTGATACTGTAGATCTGTCTGTGTGTCTAATGCTCTTTGAATTGCACAACTTGACTTTCTCAACACGAGTCTTACCTTCGCATTACTTTGAAAAGCTCAAATGCTGAAGACACACAGAGACATATGGACTAATAACAGACTACTAATCCCTCTTTGGTACTCACAGGTTTACTCTGTTCCCACATATGTGTGGTCTCAGCTCACAATGGGCGGGTTAAGAAATTTTTGCGGATTTTTCTTCACTTTTAGGTTGGTTTAATAAGCAGCACTTTGAGTCTTAAGTGAGATTAGCTTTTTATCTAGCCAAATGTTGTGTACATGTCTCATAAACTCACAGAGTGTGGCTACAAATCCACGTTTTTCCCCACACTAACATGCAGATTTGAATATTTTACACCTGCTGGTGGTATAGATGTATATCCAGGTGCTGAGTAGTGAGTACTTATTACTGGTTCACAGTGGACGTCGAAGGCCTCCTTTGTTTTTCTCTTAAATCATCTGTCTTTTCTGTCCAAAATGTGAACATTCGCATCCTTGAAAACAGTTTCCTTTCTCCTTTAAACAAGTAGATTAGAGTGGAGTTCAATTTTGTATGGATTCATTAGGTACGCTAAAGATATTGTACAAACAAACTATCTGATTCTGAGGAGGGTTATTTGGGATTTAGGGACCCAAAAGTGGTCTGTTAAACAAAAGAGTAGGAGTGAGGGTGAAGCCACTCATAGGTGACAGCAGAGAGCGTGCTGTGTGCTGCATGTGCAAGCCATTTAGATGAATTACAGCACTGGGTACTGTCGGATTTTAAAGATGAGTCAGTAGATGAGGAGCTTGGCCTGGAAGCCACTGGATAATCTGTTTACTTCTGTGTTCTCTCTCAGCTACACGGTGTCATAATATCGCTCCTTCACATATATACTATAGTTGCCTTTCGCAAAATGGCTTAACACAGCCCAAGATTTGTATTTAGATTTGTCCACGTCCATAATGAATTAGGAATCGTGTGGTGAATTAATCAGGAACTGATTACAAAATATGTGCCTTTAGAGCTGACATTTAAATTCTTGGTTAGTTAAGTGAATGAGGTAATCAGGTGGTAAATGTACAGTTTACAAGACCTGCATAGATGTTCTTGGCTAAATGTTTTGTACCTATGTATGGTTTGTTTAGCATACGTTTACTGTTGACACATATGAACTCCTTGGTTGATCTTCTGCATTAGAGAGCAGAGTAGTCTCCTCTGGGTGCTTGTGTGTGCATGTCTCCCTGTTTGTGTGTAGGTGGATTTTACGCATGTGTGGTGTCTGTTTTTGGTATGCTTGTTCACAATTTTCCATTCACACAGAGGTATGTGCTGGCATCTGAGCCTAATGTACATACATTCCTGCTAATCTGCATGCTCCGTCAGTTTTTGCAGTGGTGTTTCAGGCTCCGCTGAGGTGTAAATGTTGAGGTGTGATTGTATTATCAGCTTGGCTGAACTTAGCCACCGTTTTCAAGTCTCAGAATCTCAAATGCTCATTAGCATAGTGGCTACATGAGAGAATTGTTTGATTTTTTTTGCACTAGCACTCACACACAAACACACACATCCTTTATAACATGTTTTAGGGACACTGCAGACTTTCTCCAGAAGAATAGCCATTAAAAACATAACTGGAAATCTGATTGCTGTATACTGGAGTACGTATGTGTCTCTGGGTATTGGTGTACATGTGTGGGTGTCTATGCCGTTTTTGAAGAAAAAGTAATGGGCAGAGCTATATAGGAATGTTTGCTTTTTATTGAAACTAAAAGGCTCCCACTCTCTGTCTTTTTGTCCTCTATCACCAGGTCATCACACTGGAAGGCTGGGTAGACATCATGTACTATGTCATGGATGCTCACTCCTTCTATAATTTTATATATTTTATACTGCTCATTATTGTAAGTACCTCATTATTTTTTTTGTTTAAATTCTCTTTATATTCTCTTGTTTTGCTAGAGCCTTGAAGCAACGACAAAACGTGATTGGGTCCAAAATATCTTGTTTTAAAGGACCATTATTTTTCATTTTTGCAAAGGACTAATTCAGATAAATGTGAACGCCTGCAGCTTTCTAAGCCTGATCGACTTTTTGTTGAGGAGACAGCTGTCTATAGACAATTTTCCCTGGTTTGGGATTTTTAATTGACCTAGTCAACTAAAAACAGACACTGGATTTAGTTTTCAGACTGACTGCACTTAAGTACTTTCAATACAAAATGAGGAATTAATAACCAGGTGGAGAAAGTGCTCATCTAATTTGCAATTCATCTTTTAGTACCACACGCTAATGACATATTTAGCATACATTTCATTATTGAGTTGACATTTCAAAGTTATAGTAAGGACAAAGCCAACTCATTGGAGGATCATTTAAATTTAATTATTTCTAAGTAACTAAAAAACTTTTCAGTTTTATGTTTACAGTGTTTGACCAAGCAGGTAGCATCTCAAATAATGAATAAGCTCTAATAATGCTCCTTATATTTTTACACCGTAAGGAGGCATAAAGTCAACAGTGAGTCAAATATTTATAAAGTAAACACTGTCTTGATTCTTTATACAGAATTAAAGGTGAAATACTTTTATGACCCTAAATCAACACTTTTATGGAGCAGGCTTTGACTCAGTTAAACACACTATATCATTTTAGGTGTTGCTGTTGTGGTTTAGGAGGCTCTTTGCACTTTCTTTACCTTTCCCTTTTCAAACAGGTGGGCTCTTTCTTCATGATCAACTTGTGCCTCGTGGTCATTGCCACCCAATTCTCCGAGACAAAGCAAAGGGAGAATGCACTGATGCGGGAGCAGCGTGCTCGTTACATGTCAAACGACTCCACACTTGCCAGTTACAGCGAGCCGGGCTCGTGCTATGAAGAGATGCTACGCTACATTAGCCATCTTTACCGCAAGTTTACACGCAGGCTCCAGAGGATATACTCTGGCTGGCACAGGTACGTTACAGGTTATTTTTTTTGTTTTTTGTTTTTAATTCTGTAGAATATGTCTGGAAATGTCTAATGACGTAGCAATAAATATGTTGTGTGGTGATGTTAGCAAAAAAACAGCAACTTGGACTTTGTTACTTAGGGTGGAGATGATAGCTCAAAAATGTATTGGTAAATGTAATGGACAATTTGTTCTAAAGCCCTCAACATCAACCTTAAAAATGCCAAGTAACTTTGGTAAGATGAAAAGAATCTCTAATCCAACACAATGCAAAAAAAAGAGAAACCATCACATGGTGCTTTTTTAGGTTAAGTTGCGCTATTAGCACCCCAGACTGGTCTGAGACCTCATGGCAACCTATGGAAAAATGAGGTTCCTGCGGTCACCCGTAGTTCGCACGGAAGACTGACTTGTCTGTAAGCACTCAATACCTACTATCTGAGCTGTGGTAAAAGTGCACTGCAACCCAGCTTTCACTTTCATGAAAAGTCTCCATTTCTGAATTGTGTAACACTTTTATCCATTTCACTACTACTACTGCACAATGCTGGATATCTCCTTGCAACCAAAACAGTAACAAGGAATCTTTTGGTGGATCACCATTAGGGCTGAACGATTATGGAAAATAATCTAATTGCGATTTTTTTTGCCCCAATATTGCGATTGCGATGCGATATGCGATTATTTTTTAAGGTCTTTGTCTTCTGTATTATTAAACAAAGACAAGCAATACATCAGATAGTATGGCCAATACTATATTACATTAATTTTAAACTGTTCTTTCCTGGAAGACAGACCTCTGTTATGATGACATGAGGTGATGCATGAATTGATGACTGACATTTTTATTTAACTTCTTCAATCACAACAGTATATTTGAACATACACAATAGTTTATTTTTAGCTTACAAACATCTGAGCATAAAGTGCTGACAAGGAACCCTGGTGTAAAATGAAAGTCAGTACAATGTGCAGATTGCAGAAATATACATAAAAAAAATCAGTGGCTTTACCACACTCAGTTTTTCGACATCTGTGAACTACTAGACAGTCATTCAATTAAAAAATAATATTAAATAAATACAACTAATAAATAAAAAAATAAACACATCTTACTGATCTCTGCAGTCAGTAACATTACACATAAAGTGCAAACATAATAGCAATTGTATAAACACACACACAAACACGCCTTTAAAATTTAAAGGCGTGAAATTGGACGGTCTAAGGCTAGTTCTGATTAGCGTCACCGCTGTCTCGGTGGAGTTTAATAAACTCGGTCGTCTGCTTCTTGCTATCTAAAATATAACCAGACACTGGTGTAAATTCTCGACTGTCTCATACTTCTGTTTAATAAGTTTTCTGTTTGACGTTTAGTCAGCTGTGTGAAAACCAAGGAGGAACCCAGCCGGGGGATTAATAAAGTTTTATTTTATCTAATCTAATAACTTTAATCTCAGCCAAACCGATTTACTCACGAACAAACAAAACACTGAAAAAGGCCCAACAATAACATTTTTAGGTTGTCTAAGTGACTTATATATTACGTTTAACCCGAGCAGCGAAACTCCGCGGTGATCTGAAAATGATGTGCCGGGAGTTGTGCCGTTCTCGGCCGCATCAGTAACCCTCGAGCTTCCGGCTAGCTGTTGAGCTGGTGGGTAGCAGACGCCTCTGAAAACGTTGAAGCACTTTTGCAAATATGGGATATCTTGATAAACCGAGCAGATATTTGATGTTTACGCAGCTACTTTCTCGCCTGAAAATATGTTAAAAGTTTATTTTGTGACCCAGAAAGATTAGTATGAGTAATTTTAAAACTTAGTAGCGGCCGCCATTGCTGGAAACTGGAGTTTGGCTGGGCCGCGCTATGAATTCTGGGATATGGTAGTAATTTGGACAGCCTTCGGCGCGTCGCTGTGACGTAATCGGTCTACAAATGCGGCCTCAGGAGGATGCAGCCCATGAATTTGGACATGTCCAGAGTATAATCGCAGCCTTTGCGGTTAGAAAATTGCACTTGATCATGTCGCGATATTATCGCAAATGCGATATATCGTTCAGCCCTAATCACCATATAACTCTTGAGACCAGTTCCACATAACAACTCCCAGTGACCTCCAGCAACCATTTGCCAAATGTTTAGGGAGTACCTATTTTATCCACCCTATGTTGGCCAGTTGGTCACTCAGTGGCATCTAGGCCCATGTGACTGAGGCTTTTGCACTTGATTTCTCACCTACTGCCACTAACCACTTGCCAAATGGTCATGAAATTCATTGTTCCCTAACGACTTGCCAGGCTATGTGACAGGCTCACCTAATATGGCTCTATTAGTACACACTTTTAATTTTCGTTATCTAGTTAATTGCTTTCAGAAGTTGAGATCAGTAAATTAGCAAAAAAACACGATAAGATCTTCACTCAACAACTCTCCCCTGGCAATAAATAAATAAATAATTAAAACAACCAGTGTTATTTTTCCACTACCCAATATATTAATTCTCTACATCCCTTTTATGTTTTGTTGTTAATTTGCAATCATTTTGCGGGATTTGCCACCTCACAGAATTACATTGTGCCTGCCAGAAATATATTAGAAATGCATTCTGATGCAAACACAAATAAACAAAAATCTATCTTGAATAAATATTACTATTTATTACTAGCCACCCTTAATTATTATTCATGTCTCTTTTTTTCTGAACAGTAAACGTCGTAAAAAGGTGAATCCTAATGGCAGCAGTGGAGGCAGTAATGGTGGAGGTAATGGGCATGGCCACGGTTCCAGCAGGGGCTGCGGAGGGTCAGGCCCAGGTAACGCATTGTGGTTGAGGCCAATCCATAACCTTTTACAACACCATCAGCATCAGCACTGTCGTCTCAGCAATGGCGGGCAGCACACCGTCAGCGTGGCAACCACAGAGCACGTGGGCGGAGAAGGACACATCAAAGTCGGGGAGGAACTGGAGATGAAGTCGCTTACCGTTCGGAGGGGAAGTGCAAATGGAAACAACGATAACTCGACCACTGTCACCCAGCGCGTGGGCTCATTACTCGGGCGACTGAACGGAGGGATGAACTATCCCACCATTCTGCCGTCTTTTGTGTGCAGCTATAGCAGCAAGACGCCACCCCCTCACTCAAAGCAGTGCGGTTCTTGTCTGGAGCATCCGCCGAACCACCCAGCTTCTGAGCACGCCGAGACCCTGACCAAGCTTTACCAGCTCATGGGACAGCACAGTAAGAAAACAATCACTGCACACAGACACATGGGTGGATCTCAAAATTGTAGAATCCAGAAAAATATGTATGTTGAATCTGCGTCTATGGGAATACCACACTTTACTGCTCACCATTGTTTTTCTGGTCAGAAAGATCAGAGGTGAGTCAGCTAAAGGAAGCTGCCACTTTCAGAGTGTTTAAACCACAACCAAATATCTTACAAAGATAAAAGGTGAAAAAATGAAGCTTTTCTTTCGCTATTTGTCTTCCACCGTCCTTTAAGTCTCCTTCACATTCTCTTTGCGACGCTTTAGAATTCCCTCGGGCTCCATTATAGTTTTGTCATCACACTCACTTTCATTCAATGCTCTTTCTTTTACCCTGCGTCCTCATCCCAAGCTTGACCTGAAATAGCCCGTGGCTGCTTCTGCGGTGTGTGTGTGCATGAGTCTCAAGAAGCACTTAGAGCCCTGACAGGAAATCCATGTCTCAAGTGTTAAAGTCATGAGCGCAGAGAAGTGGATAAAGGGGCAGGACTGACTGAATCAACACAGTGTGTGGGGGGAACAGTTAAAGGAGGAAAAGTATGCAGTGTTAAGGAATGTAAACAGGAATGCAGGTGTGTTATGGTATTCTGAAAACAAGTGGCTGAGGAAGGAAGAAAATATGGAGTTTATTAATGTATTCATAAAGTATGAAAGATTTAAGGCCCGCATTGAGAAGCTGAAAGAAGGCCGCCAAGAGAAAAATAAATTAGAGCAATAAAAAGAAAGAGAAGAGAGCTGGGGGAGGACACATAAAGGAGGGCTGGATTCGGGGATACCGAGAATATAACAGAGAGCAGAAAGACAGGAGCTGCGCAGAAATGGTATGAAAGACATTTCTGTTGTGTCATTAAAGGGTGAGACTAACAGTAAGCACGAGAAACTGATGTTAAGCAGCCTGAATCCTTTTGGAGAGTGAGTGCAATGCTTAAAAAAATATCACCCTAAATTGTACTCTGTAGTAAAGATCACATATTTACTCATTTGAAGGGGGATGTGTTCTGTTTGCTTTCAGCACTGTTAGGTAACTCACTATCTGCTAAACCTTATAAGGTATGGCTTTAGAGTGTGAATCATGTTTTTGGTTCCTCTTCACTTTTGGAGGACCATGTTCTTGGGAATATTTTCAGCTCTGTAGCCCTCTGATTTCACTGTAATTGTAGCCTTATTGAATAACCTTATACGATGGGATCAGTTTAAACAAAATTTTCCCCGGACAAGGGTTTTGTACCCTGATGGAATTTGCGAAGGTAATTTGTGAGTATGTCAAGAACTGGAGAAGTGTTTAAGATTATAAATGACAATAAAATACAATGAGAGCACACACAAACCTTTTTTAATAGCTCGGGGTATAGACAGTGTTGTAAACAACTTTATGTGCTGTTAAAGCTGCTTTTGAAGAGCTGACGTTTTCAGAAGTCAAGCTTTGCCTGTGTTAGTTTTCAGCCGTGCTTTGCTCTGCAGTTCCTCTGTACTGATTTTAAAAGGCTCCAGTCAGAGAACAGAAGGTGAGACGAGGCAGCCGAGATCTCAAACTGTGGGCGAGCTTGCAGTACTCACTGCGGAAACTTAATGTGTGCTGGCCGCGTGCTGAAAAGGACGGCCCTTCAGCACAAAATGCAAAATTTCACTTATGTTAATGTCTTCGAGCTGGGTCGTTATACCACAAGGTTTGTCTCTTTGTCTCTTTATGTTGTCCTTATAAAAAAGTCGACCACATAAACGTGTAGAAGCACTAATTTTTACTCCCCTCCAACTGTTCCACTTTTACAACAGTAAGCTTAACAAGCACCAGCAAGTGCTTTGCAGTAAAGGACTCGCCAATGATTCCCGGTGCTTTATACTACATAGAGTTGGTCCTACTTTGCTAATGGGGACTTCAGGTCTTTTATCTTTTCTATTATTTATAGTTTTGATAAAGAATACACTTGGATCAAACGTAAATCAAAGCTAATGTCGAAATATATGATGTGCTTTAGTAGTAAAGATGCAAATTAGATCCTAACTTTCATTGATTTCTTAAGTTGTCTAATAATATCACCATACCTACTTACAGATGATCCCTGCTTCAAATGTGTAATTTTAAGAAAGTTTATTTTTATATTTACATTTAAAAACTTGATTTATTTACATTGATTTACTTGATTTACAGCAGGATATAGAATATATAATGTTAGAGTCGGACCGAAATAGGACTGATGCTGATACTTGGTGGTATTAAAAAGCTGATATATTGGCCAATATTTTCTTTTCTTTCAGACACACAAATATAAAAAGATTTCATTAAAAAATGTGTGTTGTTCTTATTTACGCACTTACACTCGATAAGACTAAACTTGGATTAGCTGTTTGTTTGCGGTGTTCAAAACATGTTGTAAACTGGGGAGCTGAGCGCCCTCTGGTGGACAGACTGTACAATGGCAGCATTCATATCGTGCTTGAAGGGTGTTTCTCTTGTGGCCTTTTTTTTAAACTTTAAAAATGTTCAATTAATTGCTGTTATAAATATCAATACCAATATACTGGGAAGTCGATATTAATTTAATATAATTTGTAAAAAAAAATTACCAAACCAAAACATGTTTGCTCATTAAAGATAAACACATAGGACAGTTATAGAAACTCCTTCAGCAATGTCTGACCATCATCACCCGTTCTTCCTTTCAGGTCGCCAGCGGCTGCTCTACCAGCTGGCGGGTATGGTGCCCAGCCCTCTTCTCTTGGAGCTACTTAGCTGCCCTTTGTGTGCCAGCAGCCTGGAGACCTTGGAGCTGGAACTGGGAGACCTAGAGGGAGGCAAGGGAGAGGCAGATGGACTACACGACTTCCCTCAGGTCAGAATGGATGGTTGTGGACTAATGATGATTTTAAACCTTGATGATTAATTCACAAGTGTTGATTAGACATATAATGATGATGAGCATGGTATATAAATAAATAAATACAATCTTTTAGTCTTCAAACCTAACACAGTGTTGTATTTGTGGATTATTTTGCATAGCGCCTAAAACTACAGTAATTAAAAAGCACAAGACGTCCTTGTTGGTGTTTTGACTTATTGTATCCAAAATCTTGTATCCAGGGGGCCGATGTGAGAGGAGTGAGGGGTCGGAGCAGACGCCGTGGGGTTGTTGAATACGAAAATGGAGTGGTTCGTGCCTGGAGGGACCTCAGGGAAAAACTAAAGAGGATTGTGGAAAGTAAATACTTCAACCGCGGGATCATGATCGCTATTCTTGTGAATACTCTCAGCATGGGAATAGAGTACCACGAGCAGGTAAGACACGGGGGATAGGGTGTCGGGCGGATTTCGCTTTTCTGGGAATATGACACAAATCAGTGGTTTAAAGCTAAGAGGACTACTGGTGACAGGAGTTTAGTGAAAACGGGTAGCAAGTGTGTTTAAACAAATGCCTTTTTATGGTTCGTTCAGTCTGGGAGTCTGAATGAGAGGAAACGAGAGTTAGAGATGGAGGCAGAGTGAAGAGGGCTGAGGGGCTGAAGGAAATAAAGGGAAGGAGGGGGGTGGAAGGAGTAGCACCCACTCGTTTCCTCTTTCTCACACATAAATTACACGTCCAGGCACTGTCACACACTCCAGACTCACAGTTTCGACTTTATCCTATGTGGCCAACATCTGGAAAGTTTTACATTAAATAATACCATTGCTCTTTCCCTTCTCCGGTGTCACACGGACACATTTATGTAATGATATTTCACATTTACACATAGGAGCTGTTTCACTTCCCAGCAGGTCTGGAAATGGCTACAAATTCAAAGAAGAGATTCTGGTGCATGAACAAAGTTCATTCCCTTCTTTCCTCTCTCTCTGTGTCTCCATGTCTCCCTCTCCAGGGGGATGTGTGTGCGTGTGTGCGCACATGTGAGTGTGTTTCTATCTTAGTGGCATAAACATAAGGAGCGACTAGAAGAACCATGGCCTTTTTAGGGCAATGACACACACATACACACACTCAAGCACACACATACACATGAAGCGAAGTGTTAAATACGAGTTCCTCCTCCCTTCGGTAGTCATCATCCCACATATGTTACACCTCGCCAACTTTTTGAGACTATGAGTGTAGCTGCGTGCGCGCGGAGAGGTGTATAAATGTGGGAGGCATAGTGCAGACTTTGTATGTGTGTAGAGACACAAAGAGAGAGGAAAAGAGAACAAGGGAGGCGATCAATGCTTGTTTTGGCTGCATTTAGATTTCATTTTAGAAATAGGCCGAACGTAAAATCGAGGTGTAAACTAACGTGCGCATAGTTTTCACACATGGAGCGTGGCACCCATCAGATGAGGTGCTGAGCTGATCTTTAACCTCACAAATTTCATTACAAATTAAATTACAAATTAGCGGGCCTTGATTGCAACATAAAAACTGTGTCTCTTGTTACTTAATCAAAGGTGGTTTGAGAACAACAAATGCAATTTGTGCAATTTTAAACGTACCTACTTAATTCTCATAAGAAATAACAGGTTTCTGGTTACTTTGGTTCACATGTGAAAGATTTTTTTATGTGCATAACGTTCATGTATGTTACAGTTGTATTAATCCTGTCCCTGATTAACATTCACGGGTTCACCGTGTAAAATTAAAAACATAATAGATGTTAAGGTACACTGCGTAACTGAGTCCACATGATTAGGCTTAGATTTTTACAGGGCTGGTATTACGATAATCAATGTTTTTTTTCTGTACACTGCTTTGTACGGTGTGAGGTATGCAAGTCTCTGTTTTGCTTTTTGTCCTCTTGTTCCTAAGGGCAAGGTCATATGCAGAGCTGTGTTCAAAATTCTACACTCGAAATGCCTCCTTGTGGGTACTGAGAGTATTTCATTTTGATTGATCACCGCGTTGGTCAAATGTAAGGGTGGAAGTAGAAAACGGCATCTAAAGCAATAGTCCAGAGTGCTCGATGGGGACCATAAAACAAATTGATATACGCTTAAGAGCTTGTTATAATTGTTAAACCTCTCAGTTTCAAATGATTGCAGCAATACAGAGTCGATTGTTTCATGAGGCTGACGACTCAAAGGCACCTTCACTGTCGTTATTAATATGAAGAAAAGTGCTTTTTTCAGCTTTTCCAGTCCAGTTTTGTTTTTTATTTGCCCAACAACTTAAAAATGCTTTTCTTTGAAGGTGAAAGGAGTAGCATATGTAGCTTTTGCTGTGGCGTGAACTCAAACCCAGGCCCTGTTGTGTAGCCTTGGGCGTGCAGGGATCCCACTCAACCAGGTTAGCTGTAGCGGCACCCACAGCTCTATACCCTGGAGTTGTTTTCATTTATTTTATTCTACCGTGTCAAACATAGTGTGCTGTCCTTTTTCAACATGCTGTTAAGTGGTACACAGACTGAATAAGAATCATCTGCAAAATTCTTTTTCACTTCTCCAGTGTAAAGACGGAGGGCCACTGAGGTACTGAAAATGCCATTAAGTCCAGTGTTAAACAATAATACATGTGTCTAGTACTATATTTGCCCAAGACAAACGCTTCCTGACAGCTCTTTTGAAGTTTTATTGAATTTATTTTAGGCTTTTCGTGGGATGTTTTGTCTTTGAAAAAAAACAACAACTTGTATTCTTTCTCTCACCACACAAGACACCAGCAGTTATATTTGAGTCCCTTGACATTACTACTGTGCCTCCCCCCC